GATCCTGTCTCAAGGTAAAAAAGGGGGTGGGGTAGAGGACAGGTCTCATCGTGAAGGCCCTGGGCTCAAACCTCAGTTCTGAAAGAAAAAAAAAAAAAGTAAAGGCTATAGGATGAATTTGTACATCAACCATTTGCAAAAGACAATACATGCATTGAGAAGACAAAAACAAAGTAGAATAACTAAGAAAGGAGAGGGGCTGGAGAATATAGCTCAAATGCCTGCTTGGCAAGCGAGGTCCTGAGTTAGTTTCCCAGGTTAAAAAAAAAAAAAAAAAAAGAGAATGAACTAACTTATAGGAGACAGGGCATGGTGGCACACACCTATAATTCTAGGTCTTGAGAGGCTGTAAACAGGCAGATCTCTATGAGTCTGATCTAGTAGTGAGACCCTGATAACCCCTTGGACCCCTCCCTAAAATCAGCAGTCTAAACGTGCCTGCTTAGGCAAGCACAGGGACCTTGCGGTTCCATACGGGCAACATATGCTGTGTCAGTCCCACCCCCAGGGCGGGCTGAGCAGGCCACACACACACACACACACACACACACACACGACTAAATTAGGGAGATGGTTCAGTAGAATAAGCGCTTGTTTGGCAAGTGCATGGGCCTGAGTTCAACCCCAGTTTCCAGAAAAAAGCAAAGAACAAAACAAAACAAAACAAAAAACACAGACAAAAGACTAAATTCCACCACAGGGGTTGGTAGAATTTGCTATTAGCTTTGTCCCTAATTCACTTTTTTTTTTTTTTGGTGGAACCGGGGATTGAACTCAGATCCTTGCGTTTGCCAGTCAAGCGCTTATCCTACTGAGCCATCTCCCCGGCCCCTGCTATTAGCTTTGGAAGTAGCAAAGTTATATAGGACAGTCCTTTGGATGGATAAGGCAGAGAGAATTGGGTCTGGATTAGAGTATAGGGCCAGGGAGATAGCTCAGTAGAATAAGTGCTTGCCTGGAAAGTGCAGGGTCCTAAATTCAATCCCTGGTACACAGACACACACACACACACACACACACACACACACACACACACAGACACACACACACAAGACCTGCTTTAGAGCACAGTAGTATGAATTTGAACATGTAAGCAACCACTCTGAGAAAATGTTGATTAGTGGATTTATACTGAAAAAGAAAGCAAGGGCCGGCCAAATAGCTCAGGAGATTAAAGTGCCTGCAAGCAGGTACAGGGGCCAGGGGTTCGATTCCTGGGCCTGCTGTGCCAGTCCCGCCCCCGGGGCACACTGAGAGGGCAAGTGAAACTGGGTATGGTAGTAGGAGCCTATAATCCCAGCACTTGGGAGGCTGTAAACAGGCGGATCACTGTGAGTCTGATCTAGTAGTGAGACCTTGAACACTTTGTAGACCCTTCCCTAAAATATGGAACAAGTAAGCAATCTCCAGCATCTTGCTACCAAGACTTGCTTTCTTCTATCATAAATGATAACATCAACATTGTAATTGCTTTGACATGTTGGACAATAGACTGACAGTAGCTAGTGCAAAGTAACAGCAATAATCATATAGTTGTATATCTGGGCTTAAAAATTATTTATTTTGAGATAAGGTCTTCCTAAATTGTCTAGGTGGGGCTTGAACTTGTGATCCTTCTGCTTCAGCCCTCCAGAGGTGAGATGCTAGGTGTGAGCCACCACACCTGGCCAAGCACATGCTTTACACAGGCAAGGGTGCTGAGGTTACAAAGCTGTATTATGGCAAACTTTGTAAGCATCAACAAATGTGCACATCTGAAACACCTGTGGGATAGGTCCACCGCGCTCTTTGACAGTCAAGTCATGGATTCTGGCTCTTACGTGTTGAAAGGTCTTTCTGTGCATGATGGGTGGATCCAGCATTAGGAGGAGGAAGGATGTGGAAATGTGTGACCAAAGGAATGTGCAACCTACAAGGAAGATTAAAGGACAGGAAAGCCATCTCCACAGCTGTGGCAAGGAGCGGCCTATCTAAATGCTTCAGGGGACAATAAATAGCAACAAGGCAAATTTCTGGGAGGCAGATTTCAATTACAAATAAGAATGAGCTTCCAAATGACTAGAGTTGTCTAACAGTAGAATAATTATTTTTGACAAGCTGTGAGCTCCCTGTTATTGGAAGTCCTCAGTGACTGGATAATCAAATGTCACAGAAAACACTCCTGAAACTCTTAGCCACTGTGTAAGGTGGTGCTAGGCTGCCTCGAATGCCCATCAATGCCAAGATTCTAGCTGAATATTTCATAACTTCTGAGCGGCTAGGTTCTATGTACACACACACACACACACACACACACACACACACACACACACACACACAGAGTGCTATTTATTTATATACAGTGCTTTTTTTTTTTTTTCCCGGAACCAGGGATTGAACTCAGACCCTTGCGCTTGCCAGGGAAGCACTTGTTCTACTGAGCCATCTCCCTGGCCCATACAGTGCTTTTTGGAGACATAACCTTGCTATGGATGTAGCCCAGGCTGGCCTTGAACTCAGTGATCTTCCTGCCAGCCTCAGCCTCCCGAGTTCTAGGATTATAGATGTGTGCTACCTCGCCCTGCTAGACTTGGGTCTAAAGGGAAAAATGTACAATTAAAACTGTTCTTGGTCAGGGGCTATAGCTCTATAGCCTGGCAAGGGTGCCTATCTGGCAAGGGTGGGGTCCTGAGTTTGATTTCTGGTTCTAAAAAATGCAAACCAACAACAACAAAAAAAACCCAAAACCAAAACAAAAACAAAAAACAAAAAACTGTTCGCTAAGGGCTGGGTATACAGTTCAGTTAGTCGTAGAGATTATTATGTAAAAAGCCCAAGGTCCAATGCCTAGTCCCCCCTCAATAAAGAAAAAAAAAAAGTTAAAACCTTTCTCTAATATTACAAGCTGTGAAATGCCTACAAAGCATTCCTTTTTTTTCTTAGAGCAACAAATTATTTTCAAGAGTCACAGAGAGCCAGGTGTGGCGGTGCACGCCTGTGATCTAGCTCTCTGAGGCTGATGCAGGAGGACTGTTGCAAGTTCAAGATCAGCATGGGCTACAAAGTGAGCTCAAGGCCAGTCTGAGCTGCACTACGAGACCCTGTCTCAGAAAGACCAAAAACAAAACGAAACAAAACAGAAAACAAAAAGTCTACAGAGAAGAATAATACATAGATTTAATAAAAACTGATTTTTTTGGCAAAAATAGAAGGAGACAGAAATAAGAGAAATGAGAGAATTTTGTTATTTCATCAATCACATGAATTCAAATAGACACAATAAGAATGGCAGTGTTTTCATTTATGTATTTTGTACAGGGTCTCACTGTGCAGCTCAGGCTCAGTAGGGATCTTCCTGTTTTCAGCCTCCTGAGTCCTGAGATTACAGGGGTGTACCACCATGCTGGGACTCATTCACCAGCTCAGAGTACCCTGGGGACGGGGACAGCACAGCATATGGAACCTGGGATTAAACTCTGGTCCTTGTGCTTGCCAAAGCAGGTGCTTAGTCCACTGAGCTATCTCGATGGCCCTCAGAAGTACTTCTTAATTTAAAATAACATTAATAATGATAGCACCAACAAAGATAATTCCACTTATAGTGCTTACTGTACACCTAATCCTGTTCTAAGATGAGATATGAGTAGAAAATATGTTGAGTGTTAAGAAATTATTACAGTGGCCAGGGAGATAGCTCTGCAGTCTAGGCATCTGCTTGGCAAGCGAAAGGACCTGGGTTTGATCCCCAGTACTGTATGCTGTGCCAGCCTGGAACCCTGGGTGCACTGAGCCGGCCACCCAGTCCCGGTGTGGTGGCACACACCTGCAATCCCAGTGCTGGGGAGGCTGAGACAGGAGGATCACTACGAGTGCTAGCGAGACCCTGTACCAAATAAATAAATACAAAAGAGTTCCAAGAACTCCAGCCTTTTTTTTTTTTTTTTTTTTCCAGAATCGGGGATTGAACTCAGGCCCTTGTGCTTGTCAGGGAAGCACTTATTCTACTGAGCCATCTCCCCGGCCCTCCAAATGAATGAATGAATAAATAAATAAATAAATAAATAAATAAATAAATGAGAAATTATCACAGTGAAAGATGTACTGCCTTTAAAAGACTCCCCCTTTTCCTCTAATACACTCATTCTCTCTGCTTGCACTTTCGGAAGCAGCTCTGGAAGACCTCACTTCAAGGGTCTTTAGCTGCACTGTCAAGGTTGCGTTGAAGTCCTCAATCAATTAAAAATAGTTCTATCTTCCATACTATTTTGACTTGGGGAAGAGCCAGAAGTTGCATGTTGTCAGATCGGGGGAGTGGGACAGTAATGTGGATGAAGACATACTGTCATGTATGTATTAAACAAGAAGATGAAGAGTGATCAAAAATACAGCGCGTGTCTAAAAATTTATTATGTTAGGGGCTGGGGAGAGAGCTCGGTAGAATAAGTGCCTGCCTGGCAAGAGCAAGGGCCTAAGTTCAATCCCCGGTTCTGAAAAAAAAGAAGAAAAAAAGAAAAAAGAAAAGCTACCAAAGCTGGCACTGGTGGCACACACCTGTAACCCCAGCACTCGGGAGGCTGAGGCAGGACTGGTGGAAGTTCAAGGCCAGCTTAGGATACACAATGAGTTTAAGGCCAGCCTGAACTATATAATGAGACCTTAGGTCAATAAAACAAAACAAGTCACAAAACTGTATGTAGGCCAGGTGTGGTAGCACATGCTTCTAATCCCAGCACTCAGGAGGCTGAGGCAGGAGGATCATTGTGAGTTTGAGACCACCCTGGGCTACAAAGTAAGCTCAAGGCCAGTGCATGGAAAGACCCTGTCTCAAAACCACAGAAGTGTATGTATAGAGATGATAGGGAACTGAAGCCATCATTAAGTTATGCAGCTCTATTACAATATATACATTTTTTTCCACCAAACTAATGCCATATTATTGGTAAACAAATGTCAATAGGAATTGGAGATAGAAAATATCTACATTTTCCCTTAAAGTTAACATCATAGTCTGGGGAGCTGACTTGGTGGTAGAGCAATTTCTTAGCATATAAGAAAGAGAGAGGTCCTGAGTTCAAATCCCAGGACAAAACAAAAAATCAAAACACACTGACTACGGGGGGTGGGCGGGTGGGGGGGTGGGGGAACTACCCACTCGGCACCCCGCTCCTGTCCCTCTCTCGGGACAGGAGATTTCTTTCTCCCAGTAAATATATTCTGCTCATAAACTCCGTATGTTCCTAAAATTCATTCTTCGGTTTTAGAGAACACGAAGTCGTGCAGGTCAGGTCCAGAGATCGTTTTTCCCTATGTCATTTGGAGGTTCCCTATATTGTTTGGAGGTCACCCACCCGAGACCAGTTTTTCTCCCTGTATCATTTTGGAGTTTCCCACCGAGATCATTGGATGGAGGCATGAGTTTGCTTTTCTTTCATAAATTCTGGATTGGGACTTGCTTAGGTAACAAATTTATGTTTCAAATGTTAATATGTCTTTGCTCCTTGCTCATAATTGTTCATGCTTTGCCTCATATAGTTTTGCCTCACATAGTATGTGACTCGCTTCCCCATTTGGTACCGGATTTAATCAATTTTGCCTGAGCAATGTTGCTTGTAATCTCATTGGTTGACGGTAGTTTGGTCCCACCTCATGCCCAACTAAGCAAGTTCCCATGTCTTCTCCACCACCTTAGACCCGCCTCACCAC